ACAACCTTCACTCACCAATCCTCATAGCTCATGGGCTTCCAAACCCCCTCTAACAGTGTGTAATGTGTGCCTCTGCCTGTTTCCCTGACTCTTCCCACAACACTAAAATGGAAGCTACTAGAACTATGAGGCACACATTGGTTAACTCATACTTGTTGGAGAGATGGAAAAAACTAACTAGAAACAACTTATATACCTACCTAGCTTTAAAAAGAATGGTCAGTTCTGGGCATTAGGATAGATCCTTAGTGTGAAGCCCTTAAGATTATTTTTATAACATGGGCAAATAAAGACTTAATTTTAGCTATACAATGGTGTAAGAAATTGGGGAAATACTGAAAACTGTTGATAGTTGTTCTCCATGGCCATGACATACTAAGTAATTTTTATTGTAGACTTTTTTAACCTTTGCCCAAATTTTCTACTCTTTATATGTCACTTGAATAACTGTATTTTAAGTTTTAAAAAGGAAACATGAAAATACCTTCCTTTACTCATCATAACAAAACTATAATGAAAACACTCTATTCCATTTTGGTGATTACAAGATTGAGGCTGCAAGCGGTTAAGTTATCTCAGTTCTGACGTCAGACCAGAGAAGTTCTTATTTTGTTTACTGTGGATAATGAGTAAGTCACCTAACCACTTTTAGCCTCAATCTTGTAATCAGCAAAATAGAGACAGGATATTTCCATAACAGTTTTGTTATGAGAAATAAAGGAGCTAACTCAAAGACAGCACTTGGTATAGTGTCAGTTACTATTAGCAATCAGTGATCATTTTTTCCTTCGTGCTATAAAGCTTTAGTCTCCTGAGAACTTTTTTCCATTGAGCCCAGTAACTTATACTTAACAAATGACTGATAATTAGACCTTGAATAGATGTATCCAGACCAGCTTTACACACACACACACACACACACACACACACACACACACACACGACTTTGCTTTAAAGAAGTTTTAGGGCTAGGGATTTAGCTCAGTGGTTCCGCCGCCTGCCTTGCAAGCGTAAGGTCCCAAGTTCGATCCCTGGTACTAAAAAAAAAAGTTTTAGATTCACAGCAAAATGGTGCAGAAAGTACAGAAAGTTCCTTATACCTCTTTCCCAAGCATAAGTGCAGGCTCCCTCCTATCCCTCACCAGAGCTAACACAGAGAAAGTAAGATATGTTCAAATTTCCCTCTTAAAAGTTAAAATATAATTATTCAACTCACATATAAATAGTAGAAACTTGGGAAAAGGTTAATATAGTCTACAATAAAAATTACCTACATGTCACTGCTCATGGAAAACCACTATCAACAACGGTATACTTGTTAACATTAATGAACCTTCACTAACACATCACTATCAACTAGGTCCATGCTTCACTCTTGGTGTTGTACCTGCTATGGGTCTGAACAAACGTAAATGACATGTAACCACCATTCTAGTATCACATTAAACACCCTAAAAATCTTTTGCCCTTCTATTTAGTCCCTCTTTCCTTAAACCTGTCAAGACAGACATTCAATGTCCTCCCAGTTTTCTGCCTTCTATAGAATGTTATATAATTAGAATCACAACAGTACTCAGTCTTTCCAGATTGATTTCTTTTACTTAATAATATGCATTTCAGTTTTCTTTATATCTTTTGATGGCTCAACAGCCCATGGGTTTTTCAGCACTGAATAATTTTTCAGTGTCTAGATATGCCACAGTTATCCTTGTTCTTGAAATTCCTAGTTGTGGGAAAATAAAATACAGTTTAATTTGTTGAATTGTATGGAATTTGCTATCATTACCCTCATTCTTAATGGAGTTCAGAATCTACTTCTTTTCTACAACAGGTAAAGGATAAAAGATAATCATGCATTTTTCTTTAAAAGAAAGATTCCTTGTCTCACAAAAATAAAAACTTAAGCATTTTTTTTAAGGACTACTGAAAGGCAGAGAGCACACAGAATAACAATAAATAGTTTAGCTTCAAATATTAACTCTCTGTATTCCAGGACACTGGGCAAGATATTTAACTTATCTCGGCCTATTTCACTTAGCAGTTTCCTCAGCTAAAAAATGAGACTATCAGCCCACACTTCTACAGTTAAGAAAATGAATATATATATATGTGTATATATATATATACACATATATATATGGATAGATATCTAGCAGATAGCTTTCAGTAAGTGTTACCAATAACAACATAAATTGGCAAGCTACAGAGCTTGTAAGGACCCTGATGTTAACTACCCTACCTCCACTATTGTAAATGACACTAAACGATGAAAATACAGGTGAGGAAAGGCTGAATAAAACTTTCTCAAATAACTGTCAATGTATTTATATTCTCTCCAGATAGTTAATCTATGTCAGAATATTAGAATATTTATTAGAATTGACTTGATTTACTAAACTGTCTTTCACAGTTATTAAGAAATGCATCGGGCCTCGGATTTAGCTCAGCAGTTCGGGTGGCCTGCCCCATAAGCGCAAGGACCCGAGTTCGATCCCCTGTGCCAAAAAAGAAAAAAAAGAATAAGAAATGTATCACTAAAATACAGCATTCTGTCCTTATTCTTCAGCAGTATATAAGTCAGAAAAATAATAGCACCTATGTGTTCATGGGTATTTTATGAGAAAATTTTTTGTATTTGTCATTTTCATAAAAATTATGTTTAACTGCTTCTTTTTAAGTCAAATGTGTAGCTTTTCAAAACATCTGCTTATGATGAAATATGTCCCTTTCCCCAAAGTAGCATATAAGAAAAAAAAATCTCTATAATTTATAATTTTAAATGAGAAGAAATGTATAATTATCAATGTTCATCCATCTTCAACATGAATTATTAAAAATATCTTAATGATCTTTTACTACAGTGCACTATATCAAACCCTATTCACTGCCTCTGTGATGTCTGTAGAGCAATTAAACAGTTTCAGATGAAACAGAAGAAAGCCAAGAATTTTTAAATCAAGCAAGGGCAAAGTTCCATCATATTCTGAGGCAAACCGACAGAAAAGCCCTCAAAGTTGTTATTAGAGTTCAGTTTTACCTGGAAAACCCCAAACTTTCCTAATATCTTAGACAAAAATCACAGGCTACAACTGAAGTTTAGACATTGAATAGCAGTTTGCAATTTGATTTTCACTGATGACTTCAAGACTTCTAACAAAATTCTTTAAAAAGAATCCATTTTAATTCATTACAATTTAAATACCATAGAGGCCATAAAGCACTTTCAGGGAAGAAGGGAAGAGGGTATGGAGAAAAAAAAAAGTTAGTTTCAAGGGTGGGGGAAAAAATTCCAAGAACACCTCTTCAAAAAGAAGATAGCAGAAGTTATTTCCCAAAATGAAAACTATGTGTAGCATGCTTCACTGGTATAAAGTAGAACAATTTAGATACAGTCACTTACTGAACACTTACTATATATAACCAGAGGAGAAAGGAGGGGGATGGTCATTCAAAGACTTGGGTCCCCCTGGGCTTCGCAGAGAAGTTGACCCTGGCATCTTTGGTTCCTACATCTGAGGAGTGCTGGAGGATAGCACAGGCTCAGATGCTACTTCATTAGTTTAGGCATAGACCTGGGGAAATGCGACACCTACAAGCCACCTGGGGGTCTGGGCATACTGGGTCACTCCTAGTAATGCCCGATTTAGGCTAGGTCAAAGAGGGAAACTGCGGTGATTCAGTAATCGTATTTATTTTTAATTTTAAAGCTCTGATTCTTAAATGTGGTGAACTAGCTGAATTATAATTTTTTTTTTTTGGTACCAGGGATCGAACTCGGGATCTTGCGCTTGGGAGGCAGGCCCCGGAACCACTGAGCTAAACCCCCGGCCCCCGAATTATAATTTAAAGTGATCGAATTCTCTTTTTTCTCAACGTTGTGGAATACTTCCAAATCCTGCCTGAAACAGTTAAGTCATTCTGTACGACCGAACAGCTTTTGATAGATGTTTGCAAAATATGAACCATAGCAGAGAAGGAAACACGTTCTCCTCAAAGAGGAGAAAGTTTACTGAGCGCTTCTACCTTTGACTGAAAGTTATAAAACACCCTTTCTGTGAGATCGAAAAATCTCACTTTAAAAATCTCACTTTAAAAATCGGTAACAGGGGGCCGGGGATTTAGTTCAGTGGTTCTGGTGCCTGCCTTGCAAGCGCAAGGTCGCGAGTTCGATCCCTGGTACAAAAAAAAAACAAAAAACCATCGATAACAGATACCAATTCAAGTGACAAATCAAATATCCTCCAGCCATCAGGATGATGAAAGGCAGTGTGAAATGAATAGGGGTCTTTTTCTTTTAAATTACTATTATTAGCTAGACGTGGCAATGCACACCTGTAATCCCAGCATCTGAGAGGCTGAGGCAGGAGGGTGGCTAAAGAGGCCACTTCGGCAATTTAAGACTTTGCTAGGCTTCGTCTCAAAACAAAAAATAAAATTAGGACTGGGAAAGGGGCTCTGGGCGAAGGCCTTGGGTTCAATCCTCAGTACCAGTAAAAATAAATAAGCTATTATTTCATCAACGGGAAGGAGTGTGGAAAGGAATTCGGGATTATTTTTTCATCCGGAAGAGATGGGACACTGTTTTTTTTCCTTAAACAGGTAATAAAGTCCAACTGGAATCACCTATTAGACGGTCAATTCCCAACAGCACCCTCCCGCCCCCACGGTGTCCCGGGACCAAGTGCCGGGTGCCCCGTGAGCCTCCGCTACAAGTGGACGCAGAGCTGCGGCGACCACGGGTCCCCTCGGTCCCCGCGCCGGGCCGGGCCACGCGGGCGCGCTCTCGTCCCAGGCTCTTTGTCGAGAGCGCCGCGCCGTGCAGGGCCCCGGGCCCCGTCCCTCCACCATGGCGGCGTCCAGAGCCTGGCCAGGCCACATGGCCCCCGCCCTCGTGTCGCCCAGTACCCCGGGGGACGCGTCCGCCGTCCGCCGCCCGCCGCCCGCCGCCCGACCTGCGCGCCAGGGGCCGGGCTCGCCCCATCCCCGCCTCCCGAGCTCACCGCTTTGAGATCCAGGACGCCGTCTTTGGCCTCCTGCAGCAGCGACACGAACTTGGTAGTGAGCAGCCCCAGGCTCTTCTCGTGCCTGCTGCTGCCGCCCCCGACGCCCCCGAACTGCGGCGGCGGGGTCGGGGTCTGTCCCTGCGGGGACTGCGCCTGCGGCCGCTGGCCCTGGCCCTGCGGCGCCGGCTGGCCTGAGCCTGCGGGCTCCGCCGCCGCCATCGCGTCCTGGCGCGCGGTGGTCGGGCCCGCGTCTCCCGCTCGCCGCCGCGCCCGCCCTCGGCCACTTGCCGGGTCGCAGCGCCCGCGGGGAGCCGCACGGAGCTGGCGGGTCCTGCACACAACAGGTGTGCCGCGCCCAGGACTCGCGGCCGCTCGCGCGCCTTGCTTCCGCCCCCTCCCCAAGCCCGGGGACGCGGGAAGGAAGCCCACGGCCGAGGGGAGGGGGAATCAAACGAGGAGCAGGGGCTGAGAGCGGGGGGACCCAGTTTAAATGGCCGGAAGTGACGCCGCGGCCCGCTGTTGCCGGGAAACGCGTTTTTCTGTTGGAAGGAGGCGCGGGGGGAGGCGGAGGCGCGGCCGCGGCTTGGAGGGCGCTTCACCCTGGCCGGATCTGGGCCGAGCTGTCCCGAGGAGAGGCGGGCTCGCGCCGCTGCGGAGAGAAGCAAGAACAAAAAGAGAAGAGAGGAAGACTTCTATCTGGGCACAAGGTCACTATGCCCAGCGGCCAAAAGTGTCTGAGTTGTGAAGTTGGTTGGCTTTTCTGGTTGTAGAGCTGCAAAGATTAGCGGTTGGTCACTTGGTCATTCAGCGGTTTCAGCTCTCTGCTCCTTTGCAGACTTTTCAGTGACTTGTAAGTGCAAGTTTTTCTTCTGTAGCTCATCTTTAGATTACGAGACGAGAAAAGCGAAATCATGGGGTTATTTTTTTTATACTCATCAGCAGTCATCTCCAAAGCTTTTCCTTCATTCTTGGATTAACTGACATGTGCAGGGAAAGATAGTGAATTGTTCAAATTCTCACCTTTTGATCCAGATCTCCTGCTTTGAAACAGTTTAAAAAAAATTTTTTTTAGCCAAACTGTTGTATTTGTTGGCATATTAGGCACTGACAGGTTCCTTGTGCTTCAGTGATACGTTAAACTATTGATGAGAAAAGAAATTACACAGATCTGAGTAGAGAAAAGTGTTTTTTCTCATTTTATTTGCAAAATCATGACAATCAGGACAAATTTTTAAATGACTTGATGTCACATGACACTTCAAATATAGTTGGCACTCAACAAATATTAAGCAAATAAAAACTCCATAAGGCAGTAATTAATGAAGAAACTTTCATATTATATTTTGCTTAATTAAAAATGATTAACAAAATTTCACTGAATTGGAGGAAACTGACAGCAGCATCAAATTATTAGCAAAAATGTTAATGGTTCCTGTTCACAGGTAGAAAAATTTATTAATGACCAGGCAGCTTTTATTTTAATCAAAGAACAATATTAACAAAATTTGGGATTAAGAATCTGAAGTAAAATGTGAAAAATTCAGTTACTACAACCTGAGCATTTAGCTAAGTTATACCCATATGATATGACAGCCAAATCAACAATTTTGCTAATTCATTTTTTAATTCTTGGTCAACAGTGTTTCTTAATAAATTTTAATTAACTTGAAAGAATATTCTGCTATAATATGCAAGGACAAGAATTAATTAAAATGACGTTTTTAGGGCCAGGATGTAACAGCGGTGGCAGCACCAGCCTGGCAAGCGTGAGGTCCTGAGTTCGATTCCTGGTACCCTCCCCCCCAAAAAAAATCATTTTTATTTTAAAAACAATTTATCTGGTGTTTTAGTTTGTTCTGGCTGCTATAACTAAGTATCATAAATTGAATGGCTTTAATAACAGAAATTTATTTTCTTGTAGTTTTGGAGGCCAAGTTAGGGGGCCAAAATGGTTGGGTTTTGGTGAGGGCCTCTTTCTGTCTTGCAGAGTGGCTTTTGACACTGTGTCCTCAGGTGGCTCAGACAGAAGCATCTTTCAGTGATCTCTTCTTGCAAGGGCCCCTTCTTCATTCCTTATCTAAGCCTAATAACCTCCCAAAGCCTCTGACTCCAAATACTATCACTTTGGGGTTAGAGTTTCAAGATGAATTTTGGGGAAGGTAAATCCGAACATATAGTTTTACTTTATAATAACTATCTCAGTAATTTTGAAATATATTTTAATGTCATTTTAAAAAGATTTTTCTATAAAGGAGTTATCTTACTATTAATGATGCTAACAGGTCACTTGAAAAATCATTCTGCGCTGGTGTTTGTGCTTTTCATGATACATTTTTGTATATATTCTTTTTCTTTTTTTTTTTTTTTCTGGTACTGGGGATGGAACTCGGGAGCTTATGCTTGCGAGCCAGGCACAGTGCCACTCATATAAATCCCAAGCCCAAAAATTTTTCATTTGTTCAAATTAGCTGAGGTTCAGAGAGAAAATACTCACAACTTAGCAGCCATTTCAGTTAGCCTTTAAAATTTTTTATCTGTCTGAGGTGCCAAAAATCACTTATATCAGTGTTTCCTAAACTTAGGGTGAAAAATCATCTACAGTGTTTGTGTTATACTTGTAAATTCAGATTCTTAAATTCAGACCCTAGAGAGCAAATCAGCATTTGGTATGAAAATGCAATCTAGGAATCTACGTTTTTCAGTTTCAGGTAATACCTATGAACACAGTTACTGTTTGGGAAATACTGAATAGAATGACATAAATCTTTTCCCTATAAACTGCTGAAGATCAGAGACTGATAATTCAAAAGTATTTTTGTGTCAGTGTGTGTGAGTTTTTTGAGACAGGGTCTTGCTATGTAGTTCAGGCAGTCCTTGAACTCACTATGTAGCCCTGGCTGGCCTCCAATTTGCAGCAACCTGCTTCAGCCTCCCAAGTGCTGGGATTACAGGCATGTGCCACAACACTTGGCTTCAAAAGTATTTTTAATATTGCTGAATCTTTTTGAAATTTCTGTTAACACAATTATTGATCATAACCTTTTAAAAATCAGAATGCAAAATTTTAATTTTCACCTTCATTAACACTTGATAGAATGTGTAGAGTTTGAACTTTATTAAATGTAGAAACCATACATATTCAAATACAAGAACAAGAAATCTAAGTTCATTATAATAAAAAAATTTTGAACTAGAATATAATAGAAGCTTCTATTTACTTATCCCCCAACAGTCCTCTGTCTACTCTTGTAGATAAAACAGGAAGGAAAATTATGGTCAAACATTTACTGAAGCTGGAAGCTATTAAGATCACTGTGAAAACCCAAGTTGATGGGCAACTCTCCCTTCAGAAAAGTGCTAACGTTGGGGCTGGGGATTTAGCTCAGTGGTTCTGTTGCCTGCCTCGCAAGCACAAGGTCCCAAGTTCGATGCCTGGCACCAAAAAAACAAAAAAAAAAAAAAGAAAAGGGCTAACGCCAACATTCCTTTGAAATTTTAGTGAGATAAAAATGCTTATCAATAAACCATCAAAGAATAAGATGACAGCTTGTCTAGACGATAAGCCCTCACATAAAGACCTCCAATACAATATACATTTCCCAGTTAGGATCACAAACTTACACATTGTACGTCGGGGTAAACCTTTGGCCAAGTAAGACCCTATGTCAACTCAAAGTTGAAAAAGTTTGGATTTGTCACCGAAAGAGTGTAATTTTAAGTCAAAAGCTTTGTAAACAAAAGATAATTTGTCACTAATATACAGTGTCCACACCATTTCTTTATGCAGGAAAGCTGTATCCCTACAACAGAAAATAAACTCAAGATAATGATAGGAGATATCTGAGAATTAGCTAACCTTGATGATAGTATCATCCTATCTTGCTCCACTGTAGAGCAAGATAAACTATTTTATTTATAAAAATATGTTTACATAATGATGTGTATTTATAAAAAAGTTAAGTAATTTATTTAGCAAAATTTCAAACTCACCAAGGATGTATGCCAACTCAGCCATGTTAGCCATACTCATTACCAAATGATATGATATGTGTCTTTAGAATCTGCAGGGGAAAAGAAAGGGAAGAACAGATATATTACCTTTGACTTTTGTAATCTTTCCTCAATCAGTACACCATTCAATAATTTATCTGTCTTCTGCAGTGTTTGGCACACATACCACTAGTGCTACACAAGATGACTTGAGCTGATAATAGTAAAGCAGGATTTTATCTTTTTTAAGACTAGCATAATTAATGTAATGTGAATTTTTAAATTTTTAAATAAGGATAATCAGAAAATTAATTATTTCACTTATGTTCTTTAAATTGTAGCTAAAATCAGTTTTTAAAAGTAAGTGAATTTGGGTCGGGGATTTAGCTCAGTGGTTCTGCTGCTTGCCTCACAAGCACAAGGACCTGAGTTCAATCTCTGGTACCAAAAAAAAAAAGTAAGTGAATTTTAGTAAATCTGATATAAGAAACCCATATTTGTGTTGTATGAAGACATGGCAAAAATTGTGAAAGCAGAACTAATCATATACTGATTTTTAAATGTATCAGTTTATTCAATACCCATAATTAAAATTTGACAGTTATTCATCGTTTAATTGTTAAAAGAAAATCATATTATTCTTGCAGACTTCTGCCAACTGTTCATCACAAAGGATTTGTCCTGAAAGTTCAGAATTTTTATGTGTATGATATTCTTTAAAAAAGAAAGCACAGAGATTTCTAAAATTCAGTGATGTTTACAAAATGATAGGTGATGAATGCCAGCATTGCCAACATTGAAAAGAGGAAGGGCTTTCCAGGGTTTGAAAGTACAAATCAAGTTCTCTTTACCACTGTTCAGACAAAAAATATCTGTTAGTCTAGAAGCCCTTTCCCCACCGCCAAAGGTTTAAAAACAATGGAAAGAAATGATATAAGTAGACCCTCAAAAGTTTCTCAGCATGTTGTATTCTCCATGAGATGTCCTAAGAAAATAGAATTTATAAGCAAGATGAGTATATTACCAACAAATACAGTCATATGCAGATGAAAGTGAAAAACTGACAAACAGAAATGAGATAATCCATTGAAATCCATGGCAACTACAAGAGCAGACTGGCAAAGTAGGACTGAGCGGTGGGGGTGAGGGTTGTCTGGTGGTTCTAGGCTTTTGCTGTCCCACCCAGAATATTGGCTGGGATAATCGGTGAATGTGAAGGAGTTTTGTAGACAATAAAGAAAGCA